CTTCCTTCCTTCCTTCTTCCTTCCCTTACTCTGTTGCCCAGACTGGAGTGTAATGGCACAATCTCGGCTCACTGCAACTTCCACTTCCCTGTTCAAGCGATTCTCCTGCCTCAGCCTCCTGAATAGCTGGGATTACAGGTGCATACCACCACACTCGGCTACATTTTGTATTTTTAGTAGAGGCAGGGTTTCACCATGTTGGTCAGGCTGGTCTCAAACTCCTGACCTGTGATCCACCTGCCTCAGCCTCCCAAAGTGCTGGGATTACAGGCATGAGCTGCCGCGCCCAGCCTAGCAGTAACCTTTAAATTGTATGTGTTGCCTTCAGCACGAATGTGTTGTCTCCTGCTGTTTGTTAGTAGGGTAACTTCTGGAATGCTTTTGGATGTTTCCGTAGGAAAGGATCTTAGTGCCATTTGTCAACGGGCTTAGCTCAACAGTGCTGTATTCGGGTAGACCAAATTCTTGTAACAAGACCTGTTAATTTAGTGCTGTAAAGAATAATGAAGTTTATTTCTTGTTCACAAAACTGCCAATGCGGGTGTTCTAGGTTGGTTGGCGGCTCTGCTCCACAGAGTCTTTCTGGAACCCAGGCTCTTTCTGTCTAGTGGCTCTGCCCTGTCTTCAGGCCTCTTGCCATCTGCATGGTCCAGGTTGAGTTATTAGATCCAATTTCCAGCTGTTGGAAAGGAAGGAACACAAAACATGTCAGCCCAGCAGTGGCACCCACCACTTCCACTCATATTCCATAGACTAGAACTTGGTCTTATGACCACACCCAACTACAAAAAGCTCAGGAAGATGAAGAAGAAACTAATTTTGTTTCTATCATAGTAGCTAAGGGGGAATGCCTGAGTATTCAGGGTCTCCTGACAACTCCCTGACCTAAGTTCTAAGTCTTTACTTCTGCCAAGGATAACTTCATGCCAGAGCATGGTAGAACCTGGCTGGCTAAGCTTCCTTGAACTCAGTCCACACTATCTCTGTGGATTCCTCCCGAGTACTTGTCCTGTGTCACTCACCATAGCGCCCTTTTCTCTTTCTAACTCTTGATTTCCTCATTCTGTAAGTATAGACAATGAAGCTCAGCATGGTGGCTTATGCCTGTAATCCCAGCACTTAGAAAGACCAACTTGGGAGGCTCACCTGAACACAGGACATCTAGACCAGCTTAGGCAATATAGTGAGACCCTGCCCCTACAAAATAAAAGGGAAAAAAATTAGGCAAGCATGATGGGGTGTGCCTGTAGTCCCAGCTACTCAGGAGGCTGAGGCGAGGGGAGCACTTGAGCCCGGGAGTTCAAAGCTGCAGTGAGCCATGATCATGCCACTGCACTCCAGTCTAGGTGACAGAGCAAGACCCGGTTTTTAAAATAAATAAATAAGGACAATTAATCCTAGTAGGACCCCTGGCTCTTACAGCCCTAATGATAAAAAAAAAAAAAAGGTAGGTGCTATTATTGTCCCCATATTATAAAGCAACTGGGGTATAGAGGAATTAAGTAACTCCCTCAAGGTCACAGCTAGTCACTGATAGCACTCAGAAGGAATATTTCTTTTGTTGGGTGGGGATTTTACTCCGGAATCTGGCCAAGGAGCATGCTGTGAAAACACTACCTTGACCACACTAGCAACTTCGATTTGACAAGGAATTCTTTTTTTTTTCAAATCTGCAGAAATATTCTTTGCTAACTGTTGTTTACCTTTTATCTATGTACTGTTGTTTTCTCTTTTCCCCTGGTGGATAGAAGTTTTACTTTTTTTTTTTTCTTTTTTTGAGACAGAGTCTCTCTCTGTCACCCAGGCTGAAGTGCAGTGGTGCAATCTCAGCTCACTGCAACCTCCTCCTCCCTGGTTCAAAAAATTATCCTGCCTCAGCCTCCTGACTAGTTGGAACTACAGGCACCCGCCACCACGCCAGGCGAATTTTTGTATTTTTAATAGAGACAGGGTTTCACCATGTTGGCCAGGCTGGTCTCGAATTCCTGACCTCAAGTGATCCACCTGCCTCAGCCTCCCAAATTGCTCGGATTACTGGCATGAGCCACTGCACCCGGCCAGAAGCTGTACATTTTTATATGATAAAACCTGATTATCTTTTCCTTCATGATTTTTTTTTCCTTCTTACTTCCAGGCTTGAAAAATCATCTACCTTTGACAATGACAATAAATATTCAATTCAACTTTCTTCCAGTCTTCCAATGTTTGTTTTTTAAACATTATTTACTTTAAACCATCTTTAATTGGTTTTGCCTGTGGCTGTGGAAAAATAACAATTCTCATTGATTTAGATATGAATCTGCCAGAGAAATTATTTATTTTAAATAGGCTTCAATGGGGAAAGGGAACACTAGTGACAGACCACCAACAACCTCTCTTCCATACTTAGAGTGGTGAGATTTCTTGACACGGGCTGGCGAGGTTGTAGATTTCGGATTAGTTGTCACAGGCAGCTGAGCTTCTGTCGCAGCTGTAGTGAGTGCATTGGATGCTGCTGGTGTGCTGCCCGGTGGCTTTTTTTTTCTTTTTTCTTTTTTTTTCAAGATAGAGCTTCACTCTTGTCGCCCAAGCTGGAGTGCAATGGCACGATCTTGGCTCGCTGCAACCTCCATCTCTCGGGTTCAAGCGATTCTCCTGCCTCAGCCTCCTGAGTAGCTGGGATTACAGGCACCCACCACCATGCCCAGCTAATTTTTGTATTTTTAGGAGAGACGGGGTTTCACCATGTTGGGTGGTCTTGAACTCCTGACCTCAGGTGATCCACCCGCCTCTGCCTCCCAAAGCGCTGGGATTACAGGCGTGAACCATTGTGCCCGGCCTTATTTTTTTTTTTTTTTTTTTTTGAGATAGTCTTTTTCTGTCACTCAGGCTGGAGTGCAGTGGTGCAATCTCGGCTCACTGCAACCTCCGCCTGCTGGGTTCAAGTGATTCTCGTGCTTCAGCGTCTGAAGTAGCTGGGATTATAAGCATGTACCACCATGCCTGGCTAATTTTTGTATTTTTAGTAGGGATGAGGTTTCACCATGTTGCCCAGGCTGGTCTCAAAGTCCTGAGCCCAAGTGATCCTCCTGCCTTGGCCTCCTAAAGTGTTGGGATTACAGGTGTCAGCCATGCCCGGCCTCAACGTGGGACCTATTCTGAGTTGTAACCTATGCTCCAGAGCTGGCCACAGGATCAGGCTGGAGCTCCTCCCCAGGCTTGAGACCCCACCCTTGCTCAGCCCCTTCTCCTCTGCCTTCTCCTTTCCTCACTCCTTTTCTCCTGAAGGCCTTCCTTCAAATCATGCATACTCTAATCCCTGTCTCAGCCTCTGCTTCTAGGCTTTGTGATCTAGGACAGTGAGGAAATCTAATTTCCTACAAATAACATTTGAACACTTAGACATGCTTTACAAGCTTTGTAGCTATCATAGACTCAAGGTTAAAGGTTATATATTAGAACATTTAAACACATATGTAGTGAACTGTTATACTGGAGAGTTTTTTACCCTTAAATATTGAAGTGGTAACGATCAGAGTTATGAGTGATAATAAGAATATTTTTGAACTTAAGATCTTTGACCCATTTAGATAATATTTATTGTTCCTTGTTTTTCTGGAGTTTCTGGAAGTGCAAATATTCTCTAATCCCCTTTTCTCATCTTACTGAGAAGAGAAATTCTACCCCATGGTTTTTAATTCTCCACGTGCTTTTGTCAAGGAGATTACCCTCCCTCAAGCCTTACGATTAAATACCGTGTGTTATGTTACCTATTGTCTCTTTTCATTTCCATCAAAGTGGAATCAAAATTTCTACAGTGACATAAATTTATTATATTCTTCAGATTTTATCCAGCATCAAGTACAGAATAATGCTTCCTTTCTCCCTTAGTTTTTACTTTCCGAAGGCAATACTGCTTGGATACCACCATTTATTTTCTTTTCCCCAAGCTTGGCCTTTTTGTTATTCTCTACATCTGAAGAGGCAGAGACGCATTCCCAATTGCTTGAATTGGGAACGTGAGGTTTCATGCTCAGAATCCGAAGTTTCAGAGAGCCTTTCTTACCCCAAGCAGCAGTTCAATCTCCTGTGCTTTCCCCTCTGTGGACTCTACCGCTACGTCTGTGTCACTGATCTGTCATGCAGTAACCCTTTCCTTGGTACCTCTGAATTCTGTCATGCTCCTTTGGCTTATTAAGAATCAATGCTGTTTGCTCTATGTTTTGCAAATGAACTTAAACACTCCTGAGCCTTGCTTTGGATTTTCCTCTCTCTATTCAAACAAAACAACTGGAAGGTGGTTCAATATTTCTATATTTGCTTTTTTGATTTAGACTGTTTCTCTTTACCTAAGAGCTGAAGGGTACTGTTCACAGATCTCAAGCAGCACCCTGGAGGAACTTAAGAGGTGGGTTTGGGAGCCGGGGAGAGCTAAGGAATGAAAGGTTTAGTTGAAGAAGAGGAAAGAGAGGGAGAGAATATCATTTGGTTTCTGTTTTAGGTAGATTCATATTAGGCAGAACTTTTTCCAAAACCAGTTAGACTTGGATGAGGAAATTATCCAGAACTTGCAGATGCCTGCTGAGCTTCCCTAATTACTTGGCCACCCTAGTTTATGATGCTAAGGCTTAACATTTTAGAGACAAAAATGGGACATCTGGTCATCTTATTCCAAACACAAGTCACTCTGTCAGAGGCACCTGCCATAACACTGACCTCACACAGTTGTTGCTAGAGTCGAATGGTGTAGATAGTGCTATAGATACAATTATTACTATTTTTGAGACAGAGTCTCACTTTGTCACCCAGGCTGGAGTGCAGTAGCGTGATCTCGGTTTACTGCAACCTCCGCCTCCTGGGTTCAAGCGATTCTCCTGCCCTAGCCTCATGAGTAACTGGGACTACGGGCACCTCCTACCATGCCCAGCTAATTTTTGTATTTTTAGGAGAGACCGGGTTTCACCATATTGGTCAGGCTGGTCTTGAACTCCTGACCTTGTGATCTGCCCACTTTGACCTCCCAAAGTGCTGAGATTATAGGCGTAAGCCACCACACCCGGCCTAGATACTATTATTATTGGTATCCCCATGTTATATATGTGTTAACTGAGACACAGGAAAGTGAACGTGCCCAAGATCACACAGCTAGCAACTGACATAGCTAGGGTTTGAATCAAAGCATCACTCACAAGAGACCAAAATTTATAATAAAACGTAAAAGTATGAGATTATGTTATTTTTTAAGTTACATTTAAGTTTCAATTATTTAGGTTGTTTTACATCTAGGTAATTTTCTTAGGATGAAAAAACTATATATTTTGCTGAAATTTTTTCATATTCTCCCAAACATGGTATGATAGCAGGATACATAATCCTCCACACTCAAATTTCCCAACATGATTCAAACAAAAAGCATTTGTGCAAAATTATTTGAGCATTTCATCAGTTTTCTCAAAAGCCTCTCCTAAGACTCTGATATTCAAATAATTTTCTTTTGAAGTACCTGAGCAATTGGTTTGATTGAATTTACATTGTGTACTCATATATTAGCATGCGGCTGCTCTGGAAAAATGGGATGTACAAGGACATAAGTAGCTTTAAGAGGAGAACTGTCTCCTAGAGTGGGAGCTAATTTGATAATATTAATGATATTTTCATCTCAAGATGGCCTTTGCTTCCCTGTGCAACCTGGCAACAACAAGGACTTTGATAATGAGAGCTGAGCTAATGAGGACCTGCTGCCATTTCACAGACATAAACTATCCTGCCTTCCTTAGGGAACAGCCCCAGCTTAGCTGATCTGATGACAGCATTCGGTGAATTTTGAGGCAGACCCTAGGATGACCTCCAGTGATCCCTGCCACCTGGCACTCATGCTTCTGTGTAATTCTTTCCCCTTGGGTATGGGTGGGACCTGTCAGTTGCCTTTAATAGATAGATCACGAGATGTATGTGATTACATGTACATTAGTATGTTACAGAAGGTTGTAATGTCCTTCTTGCTAACACATTCTTCCTTCCTGGTTTTGATGAATCAAGGCGTCCTGCTGTGGGCTGCTCTATGGAGTGGCCTATGTGTCCAGAACTGAAGATAATTTCCAACTCCCAGCCAGCAAAACACAGAGGTCCTCAGTCCAGCATCCCATGAAGAACTGAATTCTGCCAACGACTACATGAGATGAGACTGCAATCCTGGTCAGAAATGCAACTGCAGCTTTCAGATGAGACTCTGGAATAGAGAACCCAACAAACAGATGCCTGGACTCCTGACTCGAACCCACAGCAGTGGTGAGATAATAAACGCGTGCTGTTCTAAGCTGCTAAATTTGTAGTCATCTGTTATCCAGCAATAGGTAACTAATGCAATCATCATACCAGAACAAATGGGTCATTCATCCTAATATTTATTGAGAGATCCTGTGTGCAGCACACGGCAGCAGCTCTGGGTATACGACGGTAAACAAGAGAGAAAAGACCCTGACCTTCATGTAGCTTAGAGTTTAATGAAATAGATGACATTAGATAGTTATTCTGCGAGCTCTGCAGTCTGATACTATCATCAGCATTAGCATCAGTAACCCGTGTCAGAACTAATTGGATAACTACAGGTGAATATTATGGAACGTTCACCCTAGTCATAATTTTTAAAAGCAAATCATCCACAGCAAATCTACTTTTAAGGCCAGGCATGGTAGCTCATGCCAGTAATCCCAGCACTTTGGAAGGGTGAGGCAGGTGGAATATTTGAGGTCAAGGGTTTGAGACCAGCCTGGCCAACACAGTGAAACCCCGTCTCTACTAAAAAGACACACAAAAAATTAGCCGGTCACAGTGGTGCAGGCCTATAGTCCCAGCTACTCAGGAGGCAGAGGCAGGAGAATCACTTGAACCCAGAAGGCAGAGCAACCTCAGTGACCCAAGACTGCGCACTACGCTCCAGCCTGGGTGACAAAACGAGACTCCATATCCAAAAAAAAAAAAAAAAATCAACTTTTAAGCCATACAACTTTCTATAACTTGAGATAATGTTACTATCCCTTGTAAAAATGAGAACATGTTCACTCTTTTCCCTAGGGAGAAACCTCATAGCAGCTCCTGAATTTGTCTCCAGGTCCAGGACTTCTGAGTGATGGTTGTTCCTCCTCAAGTTTAATAATAAGCCCTCTTCATGGCGACGTACACCTGTAGTCCCAGCTACTCAGGAGGCTGAGGCAGGAGGATTGCTTGAGCCCAGGAGTTTGAGACTGCAGTGAGCTATGATGCCCCTGTACTCCAGCCTAGGCGACAGAGCAAGACTCTGTCTCAATGGTAATATTAATAATAAGCCCATCTTCTTATTCGATAATCTCCTAAATTGTAAAGTTGGCCATCATTAACATAGGCTATACAAAATAGTGGGAGAAAAGCTATAAGAAATAAAATAGACCAGGCGCAGCAGCTCACACCTGTAATCCCAGCACTTTGGGAAGCCAAAGCTGGTGAATCACCTGAGGTCAGGAGTTCGAGACCAGCCTGGCCAACATGGTGAAACCCCATCTCTACAAAAATACAAAAATTAACCGGGCATGATGGTAGGTGCCTGCAGTCCCAGTTACTCAGGAAGCTGAGGCGGGATAATCACTTGAACCCGGGAGGCGAAAGTTGCAGTGAGCCGAGATCGTGCCATTGCCCTACAGCCTGGGCAACAGTGAGACTCAAAAAAAAAAAAAAAAAAAAAAAAAGAAAAAGAAAAAAAGAGAGAAATAAATAAAAAGAAATAAAAGAGAAAATCAGTTAACTGCATAAAAATGTACTCGATACAGTAAGGAAGATAATAGCAAACACTGCCTTCCAGGCACTTTACATGGATGTTAATTAATTTAATTCTTATAATAAGCCTACTAAATAAGAACTATCAGTATTCCCTTCTCCCCACTTCTTTTAACCTATGGGAAAATTGAACCAAAGAGAAGATAAGAAAGTTGTTTGGCCAGGTGCAGTGGCTGATGCCTGTAATACCAGCACTTTGGGAGACCAAGGCAGGTGGATCATGAGGTCAGGAGTTCAAGACCAGCCTGGCCAAGATAGTGAGACCCCATCTCTGCTAAAAATACAAAAAAAAGTAGCTGAGCATGGTGGTGGGTGCCTGTAATCCCAGCTACTTGGGAGCCTGAGGCAGAGAATTGCTTGAACTCAGGAGGTGGAGGCATTAGTGAGCCTAGATTGAGTTACCACACTCCAGCCTGGGCAACAGAGCAAGACTGCATCTCAAAAAAAGAAAAGAAAAAAGATAGTGGTTCAACAAGCTGGGTGTGGTGGCTCACGCCTGTAATCCCAGCACTTTGGGAGGCTGAGGCGGGCAGATCACAAGGTCAGGAGTTCATGACCAGCCTGGCCAACATGGTAAAACTCTGTCTCTACTAATAATACAAAAATTAGCCAGGCATGGTGGCACATGCCTGTAATCCCAGCTACTCAGGAGGCTGAGGCAGGAGAATCAATTGAACGTGGGAGGCAGAGGTTGCAGTGAGCTGAGATTGCACCACTGCACCCCAGCCTGAGCGACAGAGCGAGACACTATCTCAAAAAAAAAAAGAAAGAAAGTGCTTCAACATCTTCAACAGTGAATCTGGGATCTGAACCCATCCAGTCTGACTTCAGATTCTCTGCACTTAGCCTCTTAACTACACTCCTTCTCAACATGAAAAGCTCCTTCATTCCTTGTTTGAACAGTATTCACAAGGGCACAATTGGTGCTTATAACATCCTCCCCCCACCACTCCTTTGATGTCTCTTTTGCCTGTAGCAAGCATTTCAGCTGACTGAGGACTTATTTTTTATTTTTATTTTTTTGAGACAATGTCTCCCTCTGTCACCCAGGCTGGAGTGTAATAGCACAATCATAGCTCACTGCAGCCTCGATCTCCTGGGTTCAGGTGATCCTCCTGCCTCAGCCTCCTGAGTAGCTGGGAGTACAAGGGTACACCACCATGCCCAGCTAATTTTTTTTTTTAATTTCTTAGACAGGGTCTCACAGTGTTGCCCTTAGAGGTCTTAAAGTCCTGGACTCAAGTGGTCCTCCTGCCTTGGCCTCTCAAAGTGCTGGGATTACAAGCATGAGCCACTGTGTCCAGCCTGACTGAGGATTTTTACTTGATGTGTGGACTCTAGAATTTGACTTGATTTGAATTCACTTTTACTAGCTATGTAAATGTGGGCAAATTGCTTAACTTCTTTGTGCCTCAGTTTCCTTATCTATAAATGGGGACGATCACACTGCCTACATTATAGAGTTGTTGTGAAAATTCAGTGAGTTAATCAACACAGGGATTTGGTTTATTATTTCAGGAGGGACTGTTCCAGAGCCTCCCTCTTAATACTTCCAACTGTAATAACATTCACATCACAGGGCAGGGAGCCAGTGTGACTCTTCTGCCAGTACTTTGATTACAACTAAGCACTCCAGAACTAAGGAAGTAACTATAAGATGAGTTCAAGGATCCACTGAGGTCACTGGGACCAGTCCCCTAGTGAGTAAGCCCCACTATCAGCCATTATCCATAAAATTCTGTACTCCTACCAGAGAATCACAGATGGCATTTGGGGCCTCCAGGATTAGCATTAGTTAGGAGATAATCGTCCTGAAAGGGCTATGAGTTCCTTTTCCCAGGGTCCAATTGCCCTGGTAAATTGTTCCAAGTGCCTTCCTTAAAGGAAAGGAGGAAGACTTGTGCTGGCATTGCTGGGTTGTTCCTCAGGAGCATCTGGTCTCCCTACTATTCAACGGGCTCTGGGTTTGGAAAGTGACTCAGGCCTGGGATTGGGTGAAGGACTGGACTCACCATCATCACGACTAATCAGTCCTCTGTTCCCCAGACTTAGATTTTGTTATACAAATTAGGCCAGACTTTAGTGTCCATGTATTCCAGCCCCAAAGGCTCTAGGATCTATTAAGCACTCTCAAATATCCTTAAGAGTCAAATCCTTCTGATAATCACATCTAAGTCTTCTGCTTTTCATCAGGAATCAGGACGTGCTTGCCCCTGAAGGTTGAAGCTGACGTCTGTCCCTCCAGGAAACCTCTTTCCATCAAAGCATGTCCCACTGTCATCCCTGGTCTACAGAGGGCATCCACTTTTCAAGAATGCCAACACCTCTCTCACCAATGTACATTTTTTCTGGAGTTGGGTGAGTAGATCAGTGATTATAAATCCACTCAAAACACTCAAACTGTTGTGTCCCCATTGAAATCTCATCTCAAATTGTAATCCCCTCATGTGGAAGAAGGGACCCGGTGGGAGGTGATTGGATCACAGGGGCAGTTTTCCCCATGCTGTTCTCATGATAGTAAGTGAGCTCTCACGAGATCTGATGGCTTAGAAGTGGCATTTCCCCTGAGCTCCCTCATTCTTTTGCCACTTTGAGAAGAAAGTGCCTGTTTCCCCTTTGCTTTCCGTCATGATTATATGTTTCCTGAGGCCTCCCTAGCCATGTGGAACTGTAAGTCAAGTAAACCTCTTGTTTATAAATTATCCAGTTTCCAGTAATATCTGTATAGTAGCACGAAAATGGAATAATACACCAACATTCATATCTCCTTAAGGCTTTGGGTTCCTTTTTCCACAGCACATCAAGGAATGTGTGGCATCTGACTTCACCCTGCCCAGGCCACCAGTGAGACTCATTTTTAGACAGCCAAGCAAACGTCTTGCACTTGTTTAATCTAGTATGTTGACTCCAGGATTCTCGGGGAGGGTATCTATGAGATGAGTTTGACCAATGTAAAATGATGTTCTTCTCATCCTGACATTCTCAGAATACATTCCTGTAATCTTGCCATTCTTTTGGTATGCAAGTCTTCTCTTCCCAGGTTTGGTTTTGATTTCAGGACATTCTAGAATCTGACTCTAATTGTGGATCTGGAGATAATGAGCAGAGTAAGGGGTGGGCCATGAGGACATCCCGTTGCAAGGTGACCATTCAGTGCGCTCCTTACAGGGTCTCTGAATAAAACAGAACCAGCCTCATCAGAATGGGAGGAAGGTCTCCTCTCATTTTATTGGCCTGTGAGGCTCTGTGAATTCTGGGGTTTCAGATTCTTGGGGTTATCTGACATCTTCAGAATATTTCCACTCCAATACTCAGGGGAAGAACCACCTTTTCCCAATCAATGCCCTGAAAGACATACCGGGACTGTGAATTCAGTCGATTTTGTGATTCATCCATCTTCAGGCTCTGTCTCTGCCTCTAATTTTCAGCGTCATTAGCCTTGTACCTCATGACATAAAAGAGTATTTGAGGGAAGTCACAGAAACTTTCTCATTCACTGACCATGCTTCAAAGTGAGAATTTAAATCCCTGAAAATGTCATTTTTTTTCTTGAAACTTCATCGTGCAGTTAGATGGAACTGCTCACCTCGTGGCCTTTATAATCCCCCCTCTGCAGTCCCCCAGAGCCTTGCTTTCAATAGGCACTTCATTCTGTGTCACTAGAGGTGATGATTTTGGTTCTCCCACTGGGTGACATGGACATCTATGAACACAACTCATGATATAATCAAAACACAATTTTATATGTGTTTCCCACCAACTCTTTACACTTATTTCAGGGGTTAGAGAAAGAGAACATGACCTTCCTTTAGCTCTGGAGGAAACTTCTGGCAGCTTCTATGGCTTCTTTTTCCTGCTCGTCCTCACCTCTACCTGCCAGCTGTCATTTTCTTTCTCTTCCAGGGTTGAAGGTAGGGTAGAAATTAGAAGAAAAAGGGGCAAGTGAGTCGCTACTTGATCTGGTAGCTTCGTCTCTCTGGGCCTGCAGATGATTAGAGCTGGTAACCCCCGGGGGACCTGGACAGTGGATCAAGCTGATTCTTTTTCTTCCAGCCCTTGAATAGGAACGATGGAGCGGCTTCCTGCAGGCCCCCTCTCCTGCAGTTCACTTGACTCAGGTGGATGTATCTCTATTTAACTCCTTCCTGAGCCTCTGGGTATCCAGCTGAGCATGCTCAGCCGCTTTCTGTGGAGGTCCTTCTGTTGTACTGGATCCAGCGTAGAAAGTTAGCACCAAGACAAAAGTATGCCAGATTGCAGGGTCATTTATTATGCCGGCGACCACAGAGGACTCATGTTTCTCCAACCTGTGGCGTCAAAAGGAGGGTGCCAAGACTTTTTATACCTGAAAAACCACCTTGGGAGTGGGGGTGAGGAGCGGGGATGGGGATGAAAAGTTTTCAGACATTCCAAGGGCTAGGGGATTCTGTGATTCACCTCTTGGGCAGAGACGTGGGCGGGGGTCTCCGGACATTCCAAGGGCCAGGGGACTTTTGTCATTCTGTTTGTTACTTCAGTGGTTTACAGAAGTCAAGATAAGCATTTGTTTACACACAGATCTTAGTTATCCTGGGCTGCTTATTTTAGTTATTACCGGTAAGCAAAGGCTAGCAATTCTGGCACAATATCACACTTCTAAGAGGACCTGTTAGGACCCAAGGCTTTGTCTTGTGTTACCTTCATATGGACTTAGGAAGCCTCCTTCATCCTTTGCCTCAGTAAACTCCAGCAGTGCCTGCTGATCCCAAGACAGAAGCCCTGCTTGTTCTTCCATCTCCAAACCACATAGCCAGCTTTGTTATGGAGAAACACATTCTGAATTTTCTTGGTGGAGTCGGACTTCGGTTTGCAGTGCGCTCTAAGTTTCTTGCTAGTTAGGCCGCCCCAGTCTTCTGTGTCTTCCAACTGCAAGGCACCCATTTCAAAGCTTTCCCAGTGGACAACTAAAAACCTTCTCACTAGGCTTAGGGTTGGGAGACAGCGCCTCTGCCCCTCATCCTAAAGGGAGAGGGCTCACAGCAGAGCAAAAGTCTCTTCAAAACAATCTTTTCAACCACAGTCTCCTAAATCCTCCCACTGACTCCTTTTATATCTTTGATTTCATTGAGAGCCCTAGGAAATGTGGAATAGGGTCTTCTTCCCTCCTATTCTAAATCCTACATGGCAGGGTGAGGTAGGTGGCAGGGAGGGGTGTGGTGGTTGGTCTCAATCTAATTTTGGCATCTTGAGATTTAGTCTGTTGATGCCTCAATCTAAACTGAGGCAGTGGCCAGGCGTGGTGGCTCACTCCTGTAATCCTAGCACTTTGGGAGGCCGAGGAGGGCCGATCACCTGAGGTCAGGAGTTCGAGACCAGCCTGGCCAACATGGTGAAACCTGTCTCTACTAAAAATACAAAAATTAGCCAGCTGTGGTGGCACACTCCTGTAATCCCAGTTACTTGGAGGCTGAGGAACAAGAATTGCTTGAACCCAGGAGGCGGAGGTTGCAGTGAGCCTAGATGGCACCACTGCACTCCAGCCTGGGCAACAGAATAAGACTCAGTCTTAAAAAAAATAAAAAGAAAAAACAGACACAGGCAGGGATAGTGTCATACTAACTTCTCTAACAATAGTTTTAGTGACTTTCTGGCCACCAGATGTCATGTTTTTCCTGTATCCTATGCTTACTGCTTTCAAACCCAACCAAGTTACCTAGTCAATTACAGATTCCCAGTACCTTGGGATCTCTTTCAGGAGAAAAATCCAGTCTAGCTGGTTTCAGCAGAACTTTATTACATGGTATTTCTTAGAATTTCTGGAAGGGCCAAGAAACAAAGCCTGGATATTATACAGCCAAAAGTGAAGCAGCCAGGAGGAATGTCCAAGCATCCCACACGTCCCAGATATCCTAAGACTCTTCTAGAAGAAATCCTGCTGTTGCTGCTAGATGATGCTTAACATCTATAAAACCAGAACTGACCACCAGGACCCCATTGCAGTTCATGCGGAAGACCAGGCACTGTTGTGTCCAGACTTACTAGAATTCTGTGTCTGCAGCCTGTCACCTATATTCCAAGTCTTATTTAGGTTTGGATTTGTTGGAAGATAGTCAAATGTCTATATCCTAGCAGCAAAGGGTCTTAGGAAATGTGTTCTGTTTGTTTGTTTTTTTTTTTTTTGGAGACAGAGTCTCACTCTGTCACCCAGGCTGTAGTACAGTGGCATGATCTTGGCTCACTGCAAACACCACCTCCCAGATTCAAGGGATTCTCCTGACTCTGCCTCCCAAGTAGCTGGGACTATAGGTGCCCACCACCACACCTGGCTAATTTTTGTATTTTTAGTAGAGACGGAGTTTTGCCGTGTTGACCAGGCTGCTCTCGAACTCCTGACGTCGTGATCCACTCACCTCGGCCTCTCAAAGTGCTGGGATTGCAGGCAGAAGCCACTGTACCCAGCCTAATTTTTGTATTTTTTATAGAGATGAGATTTCGCCATGTTGCCCAGGCTGGTGTCAAACTCCTGGGGTCAAATGATCCTTCCATCTCGGCCTATCAAAGTGCTAGGATTACAGGTGTGAGCCAACACGCCCACCATGTTTGTTTATTTCTACCTATGGAAAAGAGAATTCACAATATAGAAGAGCTACCAAGAAAAGATTTGAGGTAGACACAAATGACAAACATCCATTATAAAACTCTTAAGAAAAGTTGGCTGGGCATGGTGGCTCATGCCTGCAATCCCAGCACTTTGGGAGGCTGAGGCAGGTGAATCACAAAGTCACGAGTTCAAGACCAGCCTGGCCAACATGGTGAAACCCAATCTCTACTAAAAATACCAAAAATTAGCTGGATGTAGTGGTTGGCGCCTGTAATCCCAGCTACTCGGTAGGCTGAGGCAGAAGAATTGCCTGAACCTGGGAGGCGGAGGTTGCAGTGAGTCGAGATCACGCCACTGCACTCAAGCGCTGGTGACAGAGTGAGACTCTGTCTCAAAAAAGAAAAGAAAAGAAAAGAAAAGTTTGTCCTAATCAATAAATGATTTTGACTATATAAAACAAGAAAATAACAAAAAAATCCTCTTCTATATCTTTTGAATTTTGTACCATTGTTGTAATATTTATTCAAAGCATAGATTAAGAAAAAACGAAGTCCCCCTTCTCAAGCCTCTTCTTTAGTGCCATTTTTCTTGTCTTCCTTTCTCTTAGGTTTTGATTGACCTGTTGTTAGTCTTTGGTCTCATTTACCCCTTGTGTTGTTATAAAGATAAATAAGGTAATGCATTTAAAATGCTTTGCATGGTGTTTGGCACCTATTAGGTCATCAACACTCGTTAGTTTTCCTGCCACTCCCTTCCT